TCCCCGGCGGCCTGAAACCACCAAAAAAAAAAAAAAAAAAAAAAAAAAAAAAAAAAAAGCACGCTGGCTTCCGCCTCAGTCGTCAGAAGTTAAGGTAAGCAGGCCACAAATACGCTGCTATCAGTCGTGAATGGCGGAGTTTATGTCCCAGTGATTTATGACCGTAGACTTAAATGTCGGTTCAAGAAGAGTTCACAAGCTGGGGCTTCCTTCCAGGCAGTGACTGATACCCTTACACTTCGTGTTCAGGCAGCTCTCTCTCCTCTTCCCCCCTCCCCTTCTCTCAACTTTGTCTTTATCCTGAGGAAATCTGGGGGGCTGTCTGATTTTTTTTTTCCTTCCCAGTTTCGGAGCTGGGGTTCGGCTGGGAGCTGCAGGAAAGAGATTTTGTGTTTTTAGCACTGGACAAGGTGGAGGAAAGGAGTGGGTAGGGGGCAGATGAACTGTGAAGTGGGGGAGTGAGGGGGGGCGGGAGAGGAAGTGGGGGGCCTGTCCCCAAGCACTTTTCATCTGCTGTCTCCAGCTCGACTGGGGTGGATGTGGCAAAGAGCAGAGTTGTCTTGCACGAAGGGAGAAAGAACTGATGAAACTCGAAAATTTGGGGGCCAGACGGTGTTTGGGAGAGTTGGCCTTTTGTCTTGCACGGGGGGAGCGAGGAGCTCTCCCCACTCCGGGCACCGGCTCTGGTGGCAAAAATTCTCCCCTCCTCATTCCCCGTCCCCTCCAGGGCGCTATTATTATCGTTATCGTTGTCGCTATTACTCCTGCTATTACCGTTTCCGAGAGTAATGGCCGGGGACTCCTCAGGTTACCTCACTGCTCTGCAAGTTTGTGGGAACCAGTCACTTTCGAGACCGATAGCGGTGGTCGTATACTTATTTGTTTGTTTGTCTATTTATTTATATACATGTATTTGCTGTCAGACGGACGAATATTCCGTAATTTTTCGCGTGCGGAATAAAGATGTCCCTTGTTTGCACTCAGCTGCGTGGGGAGCATGGGGGACACCGGGCGTCTCTCTTGCTGCGCAGAAAGGGGAGTCGCAGAGACTCGAGCAAACTTCAAAACGTCCGGGGGGATGCGGAATATTTGAAGTCGCGATCATGAAAGGCCGGGGCAATTGTAAAATCACCGCTGCCTCATTATTTCCTCATTTTGCTCTTGCAGTGATGTCCGTCTTCTCTCTTTCGGAAGCCGAGGAATTGAGAAAAATCACACCGGGCCTAGATATCATTAGGAAAGAGAGGCGAGGAGATGGAAATTGTCTGTGCTCCTCAGATCTTGCTGGGCTTATTGGCTTAATAACATCCAAAGAGCTTGATTAGTGCAATAATTCGGCAGCCGCCCTACTGTAGGTGTGTTACCTTAATTTTGTTACCCTCTAACAAAGGCAATGCTGTTTTCTAAGAACTTGTATAACTTGAAAGGCGTTGAGGGCGATCGTTTGGTGCATCTGTTGTGTAACATTTTTCGCCTCTAAGCATTTGTCGTTGTTAGATGTTCGTGGTAGGTTGGGGGGAGTATCCGGCAGCATACAAGGAAAGTGGCAAAAGAAATTGGGGCTATTCCGACCCGAATAACCGGAGATAGCCGGAGCTGTTTGTCAGCCAGAGGAGAGGGGGGCGGCAAGGAACACATTTTAATTTTTAAGAACAATGTCTGCATGTGGAAAGAGTTCCTCGATCGGAGGTTTCCGGGCAGGTAGAATATAACTGGGGGGAAAAAAAATTAAAAAAAAAAAAAAAAAGACAGGGAGGGAGGGAAGTAGGGAAGAAAAGAAAAAAAGAAAGGAAAAAAAAAAAGAAAAAAAAAGAAAAAAGAAAGAAAGAAAGGGGGATTCACCCGAGCAGGAGCTTTCTCTGGGTTTGTGTCCACCCTCTCTCTCCCCAGCCAAGTGACCCTCATACATCAAATTACATAGCAGTTTCCAAGACAGAACCTATTATCGCTAAGTTGGAAGGAAAGTTCAAGCCGTGGTCATGGAGATGAACGCTGGTTTTTCAGGTTCCTGGTGTGTTATTTTTTTCCCCCAATCCATCATGTTTTAACAGGTAGAATCTGGTTGATTCCACGAAAAGTTAGCGTCTTGAAAATAACTAAGGGGGAAAAAGGCCGAGGTGTCTCTCTTGCCCCCCTGGACTTGCCAAGGGGGCTTGGCATGGAGAGGCTGCAGTATCGTGGGGTTCCCACGCGTGTCTGCGGGGGCGGCCGCGGAGGGGCAGTGGCTCCGCGAGCGCTCAAGGGGTGAATGGGCTCCGCTTTGTTCATTAGCCCGTCGAGCATCCGCTGGGCAAGCCCAAATCTGTTGCTTTGGATGGACCAGAGAACCTGCCCACCCCGCTTCTGCCCCCTGGAATAAGAAGCCTCCTGTGCTCCGTGGGAGCTGTAGGGAGAGCTGCAACCTGGAGAGAAAGGCTAAAAATAAAAACACTGGTTACGGGCAAGGGTTTGATCCTAGAGCAGGAACGAAGAAATAGCCCAGCCCCTGCACGTTACAGATTCCTCGATCACCCTTATCTCAGAGGCTGGTATTAAAACAGCCTCTCGGTGATAAACAATCATCCCCCTTGCCCTGTGGTGCCCTGCTCTGTTTCTTTAGAAGAAAGGAAGGGGAAAAACCCTCGAAAGCCCCTATCCCAGTGCAGCAAAGTGCATATTTGTAGCTGCCACTAAATCCAGGCAGCTTTATATCAAAATTCTCTGTGCCTGAGGCCAAGTCATGCTGCTAAATATTGCTGACCACTTTTTCTTTTATGGCTTTCATGTCACTTAGCTATTGAAAGTAAGATGGATTTGTCCCATTTCTTCACCCTGCTCTGCTCTCCCCGCACCCCAGGTCTGCCCGGAGAGGCCATTGGAGGAAGAGCGCCACGTGACAGAGGGGTGCCAATGTTATTCTCCAAGGGTGTCAAGACCCTGTCAGTTTGTGAAATAAATATTGGGAAACAACGAAATGCAAAAAGCGACCTACTACGACAGCTCTGCAATCTATGGTGCCTACCCCTACCAAGGAGCAAATGGTTTCACTTATAATGCGAGTCAGCAGCAATATCCTCCGTCTTCATCACTTGTGGAAACTGAGTACCACCGCCCCGCGTGCTCCCTCCAGTCTCCCAGCAGCTCCGTGTCCCACCACAAGGCCAATGACATCAGTGAGAGTTGCATGAGGACCCTTCCCAGCCAGCCTCTGCAGCCCCCCGGCCTCACGGAGCCGCAGGCCCCACCACAGCCACCTCCAGCGCAGCCCCCACCTCCGTCCTCTGCCTCCCCATCTCAAAATGCCAGCAGCAATCCTGCCCCGGCCAACCCCACCAAGAGCCCAGCTCTTAACTCGCCCACCATGTCCAAACAGATATTCCCATGGATGAAAGAATCTCGGCAAAACACAAAGCAGAAAAACAGCAGTTCCAGTTCAGGTACGAAACATGCTCCCCCTTCCCCTGGGTCCCCATCGGGTTGGCCATGTGTCCTGCGGGGAGGAGGGGAGCCCTGTCTGTCTTCACTTGTGGGAGGGAAGGAAGGAGGTGACTTTTTTCCTCTCTGGTTTGCTCTTCTCCTCGCTTTGGGAAGGGGTCCCCACTGCTTGCAACAGGCGCTCTGCTAAACTCCCCCCTGTAAAACTTTCCCTCCCCTTCCCCATAAAACTTTCCCAGCCTTGCAGGACTGATCCAAAGCGATTTTGTTTCCCAGTGGCTGAAGCGGTTGCACCCTCCTGCATCGCTCACATTTCGTAGGTAATCCCCGCTGCCGTAAATCATGTCAGTGCGGAGCAGCCTAGGCCTCAAGCCAGAGGCCTGTCCTGAGTACTTTGTTGGCACAGTGCTGCTAGATTAATAAGACAGTGACCTATCTCTGCTGAAGTGTAACACGAATAAAATAGCTCATAATCATGTGCGGCCAGGATCAATGCCCTGCATGCAGTCAGGAGCAATTCCTACTTTAACAACCTGATTGGCAAAGTTACAAACCTGGTAAACAATTTTTTTTTTCTGGAGTGCCATAAATGAGCCCATAAAATATTCTTTGGGGCATGGAAATGCATATTAACACTTTTATTACTCAAGGAAGCCCAAATCAACAGCACTGCTGCTAGCGCTAATGCCCAGGACTTGTGTTTGTATTAACCTCTTCCTTTTTTTCTCTTAAATGTTCCTTGGGAATAGAGTTCAAAACTTTAGTAAGTGTCTTCAAAACTTTAGTAAGTGTCTTCTCCAGTGTGCTTTTTAAAGCTGTGGTAACATTAGTGTTTACAGACTTACATATTGTATATTTATTTTATTAAAAAGCAATAACATTTAAATAATGTCTATATACAAGCATACCCACCGTATGTTCTTGTAACATTTACTATACTTCCCAATCACTACCATATGTTTATTTATGCTGTATGCTAGATATGGTAGAAATACAGTATAGTCTATTTTAGAAATACAGTATAGACTATTTTGTGCCTAAGTACATAATTCTGTGCTGCAGTAGACACCTAACCTTCAGCCATAGCCGATGTGTTTTTTTATTGGGGTTTTCAGAAAAAAAGAGAGATCTTTGCAGTACTGAGAAGCAGCTAGTTCTTGAAGAACCTGAGCCCGAGATGTCAGCAGAGCCATAGGTTCACATTCAACTTCAGACTTTCTAAATCCCACTCTCTAGTTCCCAAAACTTTCCTTTTCCTTGTTGCAAAGCCAATTAGCATGCTCTAGCACTGACTCTAACAGAGGCAAGTATAGTCCTTTGGTGACCCACCAAGGAGCAGGAAGCCCCCTGCAAGCCCCTTGAGGCTGGTAGTGTGGCATGCCCGAGCTCCAGGTGGGATGGGAGTGCTCCTGGCACACCTGGGCTCCTTATGCCCCAGAGCGGGACTCTCCAGGTGCTTGTGTTGTCTCTGGTAGCAGCATCCAGGTTCATCATGCTGATTGTGTTCTTTGTGTGATTTACATAGGTGAGAGTTGTGCTGGTGACAAAAGCCCTCCGGGGCAAGCGTCCTCTAAGCGAGCCCGTACAGCTTACACAAGTGCCCAGCTGGTAGAACTGGAAAAGGAGTTCCACTTCAATAGATACCTTTGCAGGCCACGAAGAGTAGAGATGGCTAATTTGCTCAATCTCACAGAAAGACAGATCAAAATCTGGTTTCAGAACCGCAGGATGAAATACAAAAAGGATCAAAAGGGCAAGGGCATGATGACCTCTTCAGGAGGACAGTCCCCAAGCAGAAGCCCCGTCCCTCCTGCTGCTGGGGGCTACCTAAACTCTATGCATTCTTTAGTAAACAGTGTCCCCTACGAGCCCCAGTCGCCGCCATCATTTAACAAGCCTCATCAAAATACCTATGGCATCCCTGCATCATATACTGCTCCTCTTAATAACTGCCCACCTCCTCAAAAGAGATACACGGGGACAGCAGCTGTGACATCACCTGAATACGATACTCATCCTCTTCAAGGCAATGGTTATGGGAATCCACACATACAGGGAAGCCCCGTCTATGTAGGGGGCAACTATGTGGAGACCATGACCAATTCTGGGCCTTCCATCTTTGGTCTAACTCATCTCCCTCATCCTCCCTCCGCCAACATGGACTACAGCGGGGCTGGGCCGATGGGCAACAGCCACCACCATGGACCTTGCGACCCACACCCAACATACACAGACCTTACTGCTCACCATCCTTCTCAGGGAAGAATTCAGGAAGCGCCCAAACTCACCCACCTGTAAGACTTGGGAGTCAATAAGTGGAACATGAAGTCCCCAACTTTTTAAAAGTATTTGTGCCCTCTCCCCCTCTCTTTCCTTCCCCCACTATGTGCCCTCTCCTCTCTTTCTTGTTTCTTTTTTTGTTTGTTTGGTTTGGTTTGTTTCCTTTGGTAAAAGCGTTCTCTAGTTTATGTGACGTAGCAATATTTGTTGCTTGAATTGCTCTATAGTTTCACTAGTGGATATTTATCTTCTTGAACTGTAGCCTTGTGTCTCACTTTGGGAGCATACATAGGCTTTATACTTTACCTTCTACACTTTTATCAAAACAGGGTATATGAACAAATTTTCTATAAAAGGAATTCTTAAATGTGAATTTGTTCGTACATGATTGATCCCACAGGGAAGCAATTTTTTTTATTGCACTTCTTTTAAATAGCGAGAAAGACATCAAAAGCGCTTGGACAGGGGCTCCCTGGACAATTATTAATACGTGTAAGTCTTTCAATGTGTGTATGCTGGTGAACATTCAGATTTATTTATATTTTTTTTGCAAACATTGAATAATCTAAGTGTTTAAATTTTTATTTATCCCCATTTGTTCATATTTATATATATATAAAAAACCTGTACCCTGAATATTCAGGAGGTATTTACCTAGCCATATGTTAGAAGGCATATTGGCATGTGTAGGAAATATCATTCAAAAGGAAACTATAACTCCTTTATTAAAAACGATGGTAACGATGATGATGATGCAATAAAATCTGGGAAAAAGATCGCAGTTTGAATAATTTATGCTCGTAACATCCATCTAGGCAGAGAGCCTGTAAAGCTGAAAAGGCTAGATTTGTTTTGAAAGTTATACATTCCTTGCTGCTCACGTTCTGAGAAAAAAAAATAAAGTTTTTATTCTGAATAATAACGAGTTAAGGAGGTATTATTTGCAGGTCAGGAGAGGGGAGAGCCCTTTGTGGTGAGAGGAGCCATCAAGCTCAGCTCTAAGCTCGCCAGGATCCATTTTCCCTGGCAAATGGCTGTAACCTCTCCAGTGCTTTGCATATAGTCAGAGGGGTTATTATTATTGTTATTATTGTTATTATTGTTGTTGCTATTATTATTATTATTGTTGTTCTTATGGGGTTTAAAACCTTCGGCGGGGGGGCCGCCCTGCTCCGCTCCGTGCGCGAGGGCCGCGCGAGTCCCGGTCGCGGGGCAGCGAGGCT